TATTTTTTTATTTAAAAATATGCATTGGCGCTTTGTCTGAACATCTGTGTACCATGTATGTGAATGGTACCTGTGGAGACCAGAAGAGGGAATCAGATTTCCTGGAGGCAGTGTTTACAAATGGTTGCAGCTGAGTGCTAGGTTTCAGAACTGGGTTCCCTGGAAGAGCAGCTGGTGTCCTTTACCTCTGAACCATCTTTCAATCCCCTTGGACCCCATTTAAAGGAAGAAAACCCAAGATTACTGGTTTGAAAGGCTACATGAAGTCACATGGTCCATGTTTCTGTCCTCAAGCCTGTTATACTAATTTTTTTTTTCTTACTTTCTACTTTGATGTTTAGCACAATAGTGGGATCAGGAGGTTTTGGTTTGGACAAGTGGGTAAACATTGGGTATTCTGGTCATTTCTGTTCTGAATAAGTTGCTTCCTTTCCCACAAAGTCCTGTCTTATTTTAGTTGTTCTTTGTAGCAATCCACTGCTATGATTCTTTGTAGGAATGTATTAAGAAGAGATCCACTTTCTGAGATACGTTTAATAACACGACTTCCTTTCCTGCCATATGGCTTGTACCCAACGTGTCAGGTAGAAATAAAGATGGGAGGAATGTTAGAGCATCACGAAAAGGGAAGGAGTACTGGAGCACCTAGAATCATTGAGGAATGACAGTTGTAAGGAGCAACCACAAGCTCTTTGTATAATTCTTGAATGGGAGGGAGACTAAGTTCATATAATTTTCTATGAACATTAAAAAGGGAACTTGATGCATGGGTAGACATTTCCATGAGGAGTCATGGTCAACTTCTTCCAACATTTGTGGCTCATGTGGTAACACGGTACTTGGTTCTGTAAATAAAATGTCTTGTGCATTGAGTCCATCCTGTGCTCTGCTCTCCTCTAAGTTACTCCGCAGAGTGCAGAACAGACGTTTTTCAGTGTGTCCTTGTGCAAGTTTTTTGGAAGAAGTTAATAGCAATTAGCCCAAAAGTAATAGACTTAACCTTATGAAGAGAATTTCTTGAATTCTTCCCCTAATTGTACGTGATGCTCCAATAACTGGAATCTGTGCCTTTTATACTGATGGAAACAAATCAGGGAAGGCAGGATGCAAAACAGAAGAATTAAGTAAGGTGGAACAAAGCCCTTATGATTCTGTCCACAAGGCAGAATTATATGCTATTCTCATGGTGCTAAGGGATTTTAAAGAACCTCTAATATAGTTAATGATTCACAATATGCAGAACGTTATCTTTCATATTGAAACCACTGAATTTAAACTAGATTTTACAGAATTGACTCCATTATTTATCCAGGTGCAAGACATAATCAGGAATAGGCTTTGTTCTATATACATAACACACATTCAATCTCATTTGGGTCTTTCAGGTCCTCTACCACAAGGTGATGCATAAATTGATCAATTGTTGATTGGAAGCCTGTTGCAAGCCTCAGAATTTCATAAAAAACATAATTTCAATAGCAAAGATTTAAAGAAAGAGTTTTCTATTACATGGAACAAGCTAAGGAGATTATAAAGAGATGCCCTATTTGGTCTTTCTATAACCAAACACCGCTACCTGCAGGGACTAACCCAAAGGAATGAAATCTACCAGATGGATGTATTCCACTTTGCAGATTTTAGAAAATTAAAATATGTACACCACACCATTGACACTTATTCATGTTTTCAGTGGGCAATTGCTTTAAACTCAGAGAAAGCTGATTCTGTAATCACACATTTATTAGAAGTTATGGCCATCATGGGTATACCTGCACAAATAAAGACAGATAATGATACAGCATATGTCTCTAGAAAAATGAAAGAAAATTTTGCTTATTATAATATTAAGCATATTACAGGTATACCACACAATACTACATGTGAGGCAGTTATAGAAAGATCATATCATATGTTAAACAGAAAGGAGTGGAAAATGCCCCCAGAAATGGATTACATAATGCTTTATTAACCTTGAATTTTCTTTATGCTAATGAGAAAGGAACAACAGCAGCAGAGAGACATTGGATAATAGAAAAGTCTTCTGATTTAAACCAACCGGTTTATTTCAAGGATGTGTTGCCCTCAAATGGAAGTCAGATTTGCTACATTGGGGAAGGGGTTTTGCTCTTGTTTCCAGAGGAGAAGAAAAACTATGATACCATCACAATTAATAAAGATTCACTTTGAAAAGGAGAAACCTCTTGAAAAAGCGAAAAGACAGCTCATCCACAATGGTGACAACCATACAGATGGTAAGGATGTTAACAGTTGGAAAAATAACTACCCAATAAGGATCATCAAGAAAATTGAATATGATTCATAAGTACAAATGTTAAAACATATACATTAACATATATGTATATTGTTTATGAATATATAGAGCTAGCTTTGGAGTTGGACACTGACTCTGTCCCTCTCTAAATTCAAGTATGTTGTTAAAATAAAAATTCAGAGTTTCTGTCTCATGTCAACAGCCATTTGGTATTGGACAGAAATAAAAAAGAATTTAGAAAAAATTTTACTTTTCTTCATATCTAGTTTTGCCTCTATTGTACTTTTCATTGAATATATGTCTGTATATATCTATATAAATAATGTTTTAGTTTTCTACAATGAACAATGTATTATCCTGCAGTAATGTTTGAAGTTTCCAGGAAGAAGATGGGGCCCACAACAACTCCACCTTTTTGATATGAAGTCATCACGCTGATAGTGCTAGTAAAAGACCTGTTTTGGATACCAGCTGCTCAACATGGTTCCAACTTGGTTAGCTGAAATGGTGCAGGTTTTTTTTTTTTTTTTTTTTTTTTTACAATATTCTGGCCATACCTCCAAATAGGAAGCTCAGAAAAACCATACCAAATACTCAGAGACTATTTGCAATTATACCAGACAGTAATCTTGGAACTTAACCATCATTTTACTTTTCAAGGATCTCATAGAAAGAACATTGTCCCCATGACAGCTGGAAGTAATTCTAGAAGATGATGTCCCCTCTCCCAACAAAGTTTGTATTCAGGGTTAGGAACATCATTTTGGGGTTTATTATAATTGCTATAGGGTTGGGGGTTGGGGGAGAATTTTATATGCTCAGGAATCTCTTTGAAAAAAAAGGGGGGATTCTATGGGATAATATATTAGTACAAGCTTACTCACACTAATAATAATAATAATAGTGAGTAATAGAGTGAATACTTGTGAGTAATTATTTATAGGCAATTACATTGGTATAGATTTTGTATATTGATACAAAATTAAATTACATTGAATATTGCATGCGTGCATGGTTTTACCTCTGCTTTAAACATTTTTTATATATTGATATATATTTATCATATTGCAATGTACATTTCTACCTCTGATGAAGGTACTTATACACTGTTTATATTTTGAGGTCATTGTCCTCATTTGTTGCACAATTGTTTATTTTATAATATTCTAATATGAAGTCTTAGTCTTTAAGTTATATAGGTATTAAGGATTATAGATAAATAATCATCCATATTTGTCATACTTATAGTTAGACTAATCAGGTTCTTTATTTACAAAGATATTTTATTCTACATAGATAGGTAACCTTCAACCACTTCAAAGAGCTGTAGAATATGGTATTTAAACAACTTAGGGTTCTGTTGAAGTGAGACACAATTGCTCTTGGCAGCACTGATCTACTGCTGAGAGAATGTTGAACACCAAAGACATTCTACTTGGAGCTTGTTTTCTTTTTGGAAAAACTGGTCTTAGGGCAAAAAAATTCCTATGCCTCAACCACTGACAAGATACATGATATCCGGAAATGGATAAGCAGGATCAAATCTTGCCAAGACAAGATATGAAGGTTTTGAAAATTTTCTTGCCTCTAAAATGTTATGTCAGTTATTCTAGGTCTTAGTTTCAATCTTGCAAATGAGACTTTGGGTGGTTTCCCAGGTAGCCAGTTGTCTCTGTCACTTGTTGCACATTTTTGGTAGTTGCTTCATTGTACTTCCTTCTTACTCAAGTAATATTATTTCCCTTCTTGAATCTTTGATGGGGTTGAAGACTAGATAGTTTTAGTTACTTTTCTCTCACGACTTGGCCAAGTTATTTATTATACAAGACTTAAACTAGTTAGGATAGGATAATTATTGAATATATTTGTTCTTATTGTATATAATTTTGTATTAGACTTAGAACTCTCTTATTTAAACAAAAGGGGGAGGTGCTGTAGGAAGTCTTACAGCTAGTGGTCACAGGCCCACTGGGGCGTGGCCTCTGATACTATATATGCTAACGCAGAGCACACATCTGGTCACTTTTCTGGCCTCTCTGTTCTGGTTGCAGGATTTGTTTTCTGATCTCTGTTCAAACAGAGGATTCTGATTTGTGAGTCTACCCCTAAATATATAACCATCTATTTCTCAATTCTGAACTAGTGTGGGGATTTCTTTTAAGCATCCATCCATAGTTCAGAACAGAGATTTTTCAGTGTGTGACTTTTCCTGATACTCTTCATTTCACAAGTAATTTTCAACTCTATTTTGAGTAAAAAAAAATTAACTGTGTGAATAAGACCATATGTCTCTCGCAAGTCCATGGAGCAATATCTGATAAGTTGCTTATTCCATATTGTAGACCGAAGCCACCCTATAAATTTATTGGCATAAACTTGCACTGTGGGGCATTTGAGTATATAAGAATTATTTTGGGAAATATATATCCACTTTGTGCACAGAAGCAGGTCTTTTGCCCAAGTAAAATTTGGTCTCATCTTTGGTATGAAAATCTTACATTTTTAGGACAGCCCTGTGCTCACTTTAGCTTTGGAGAGTCCACTGACAGCTAAGAAAATGACCTCAAACCACACCCTTCCAGAACTAGGTGTCTATAGCTCTGTTCTCAGCAAGCCTCCACAGGCTATGAGATGGAGAAAAGGTCTCTGCACCACTTTCCAATGAATCAATTTAACATCTAGAAGCCAGTGCACATTTATGAAGGAGGCAGGAAGCCAACTGAAGGTACAATTTTATGATATGACTTTAATGATTTCCATGCTTTCTCTAACCCACCTTTCATATTTACGAGCACTTTCTTTACTGGAGGAAAGCATCATTCTCTTTGTAACTCTTAGATGAAAAGATTTATAAGTGATGACATATCCACCACCAATTCAGAGGACACAACAGTCCAGGACATGGATCCAGTAACTGGACCCTAATCTTCCCATCCTTCCCGGTCACCTTCCTTCTCTCCCTTCACATAAGAGCAGCCCCAGTGGCTCAGAGGATTGTTCAGTTGTTCTTCTCTTTTCTCTTTCTGCCTCCGACTTCACAGTCTAGGGACAGCGCAGAGACGGTGACTCACTGGGGACACGGTGATGCCAAATCTAGACTTTAGGCTCAGCTTCTCATTGGCTGGCGGCTTGAAGGTAAATTTCTGCACAAGAGCAGTGAAGAAAATGAAGAGCTCAGACCTGGCCAATTGTTCCCCAAGGCAAGCTCGCTTTCCTGCAGGAAATAAAACAGAAGACGAGGTACTTTCTTAGTTGGCATTAGTGACTACAGGGACTGGCATTTCCATTTTCCTTCTGGAAATCTTAACCTGTCACCAGGCTTTGTGTCCAGCTGTTTAATTACGTCTCATGTGTGTCTGAATGTGGAATGTTCCACTGAAATTGGAACTCAGGATCAAAGGTCTTCAGTGGGACAATAGCAATGAGAGGTGTCACAGGTGATGATATACATATCACAGATGATGACAGCTAGTATTTAACAGATTGACCTAACAACTCTCTGATGGGAAGCCCTGCTTGGAAAAGACTATGGGGTCACTGGCTGTAGATGACTGGTTAATTTTGTCTGTAGTTTTTCTCATGTGTCAGCTATGGGTATTTTCCCCACAGCTTGTGTGTTTATCTCGTGAAAATATTCCATCTACTGGGCATATAGGATACTTCTCATTACTTAGACTGACATAGCAAAGTAATAGTGTCTTCAGTCTCAACAACAGCTAACTTTAAACTTCAGGACATATTGTAAATAATTTGGTTGTTTCTGGATATCAATTTCTGGTAGCTCCTAGAGACGAATATACAAGGACAATTTCCCAGGTGTTTATTGCTGGTTCAAGATCAGGCATGAAACAACTTTAGTAGACAGAACTTTCTCAGCAAGGGACTTCTCGATGTATTTGCAACCTCAAGGTTAAGCCAACTAACTGTTTATTGTTTAAGGCCTGAATTTCTATGTCCTTTTCTGTCTGGGAACCCTGACCACTCAGAGCTTACTTTACTCACCATGAACAATCAGAACGACCTCCATAGCCAGAGAGAAACTGCATGATCGTTATGGCTCTGTTTTTTATTGTTTACTCAGGAAGTGCTGTGTAACCCTGAAAATGTGACTCATATTTGTCCAGAGGGTTTGCTGTAAGGGCAGTAGGAAAGAAATGTGAGAGATATACCTGAATGTGTGAGAGAGTTACCTTAGAAGAGTAGAATAAGTGAAATATTCAAGTCTTTATAATTTTTTATAAACAGGAGAACCGGACAGAGTCTCTGTATCTTATCAGATTTCCTATTAAAGTGAGTTATGAACAGTGAGCAAAGGAACAGATTGTCCCAGATGGAAAGACAAAGAGGTCAGAGCAAACCCAGGGCACTCCAGCCCCAAGAAACACCAGCTCTGGATCAACACTAGCTGTGCAGGCAAATGCAGTCTCCTCCTGGAGCCTCCACATCATGAGAAGCGACACTGCCTTAGATAATCAGGCAAACGTAATGATCATATCAAACATTTCAGTGCCTTCTGTGCAGCATTTGTCACCCTCTGCAGACAGTGTTAGGAAACACAGCTTCTGTGTGAGGAAACCTGGTGGACACTGACTCCGGGAGAAGCACATTTGTCTAGGTCTGGTCCTTTTCTCTGCAGGGCTCACTGACTGCAGCTTGGAAGGCGGCAGTGGGACGCATGCTCCCAGGGGCAGCTCTGTTTCTTCTCCTGTCCCACACTTTTCTTCTCTTAGATTGTTTGTTTTGTTGGTTAAAGGTTAGAACACAGATATGAAATTAAAGAATTGCCAAATTACATACATAAACCAATATCTAGAATATACCAGAACGTTTGGTTATTGATTCCACACCACTGCCACTGAAGTCTTTAATCACTTGCCTGGCAGAAAGCACAAGGGAGAAAGAGTCATCACTGCATTTCCTTTTCTGTGTGTCAGGTGCAGCAGATACATGTACTAACTACATTTAACAACGGGGGTCCAATTTAGAAAGATAAGACCTATTCAGGGATTGTTCATGGGACAGAAGCCTATTCATGTAAACAAACACCAATTTAAACTATCTAACAATTAAAAACACTGAAACTCAGCTCTCTACATTGTAAGAGCCATCTCTTAAAAAGAACTCAAAATGTCTACACAATGGCAGGAATGTAGCTTTGTTGTTCTCAGCAAAAGCACGGATTAGGACTGTGTTGTCAGTGAGGTAATAATAGAACAGAGGAAGTTGAAATCTCCATCAGAAACAAGGAGGGATTGACACTGTGTGTGTGTGTGTGTGTGTGTGTGTGTGTGTGTGTGTATGTGGGTACTGACTGAAACCAGCTGCAAAATGGAGATATATGGGAAGGTCCATCTGTATGGATTCCAGAAAGAAGAGAAGGGATAAAGTGGAGCTCTGAACCCTCTCCTGCTCAACACAACTCACCCATTGAGAATGGCAGAAAAAATTCTCTCTTCTTAAACTCTCCATTCTCCAAAAAGTGCTCTGGATTGAAGATATCTGGGGTGGCCCATTCTTTGGGGTCCATGTGCAGTGCAGTCAAATTGGTATGAAGCATGGTGCCCTAGGGAAGGCAGCAAAGACTCAAGTAACGTGTGGACTAGACACACAGAGGTTTGGTGGTTAACAGACTTCCATTCCTTGCCTACTTACTTTTGGCAGGTAGAATCCAGCCAGTGTAGTGTCTACTGTCACTTCCCTGGGAACATTTAGAGGGACAATATTTGCCATCCTCTGCACCTCATGGACAACGGCATTGGTGTAGGGCATGGAGTCTCGGTCAGTCAGACTGGGCTGCTTCTCCTGTCCAATGACTCTGTCAATTTCAGCCTGTACTTTTTCTTCAAGGAAATGGGAGGCTCCATTAAGTTTTAAACTTTAATGTTTTCTTCTAAAGATAGAGAAAGTTGTCTTTCAAAAATGTATAAGCTTTTTATCTTATCTAGTATCAGGATTTTGAGGAAATAAAGTTCTGTACCCCCTAGAAAACCAGATTTAGAAAACTGTAAACTCTATAACTTTCTTCAAGCCTACAGCATACTTATGAGTTTCCATACATATTGAAGAGATAATCAGGATGTCTATGGCTAAGCTCATCTCAGTGTCTATTCAGACTTCAATAAATAAATACTTTTTACTGGATAGATTATTACCAGTACACTTTGGTTTTTATCTACATGCAGAGTCTCACATCGCATCACATATGCTCCTCCTCTTCCCACTTTCCCATTCTGTCTTCTGAACCCATTCTGCCTTGGTTAAATGCTGTCACCGCATCTCACCTTGAACTTCTGGGTAGAGAGTCATGTAGAGCAGAGCCCACCGCAGGGTCGTGGACGTTGTCTCTGTTCCAGCAAAGAAGAGGTCGAGAGTGCTGCAGATGAGGCTTTCTTCATTGAAACTTGTAGTAGTTTTGTCAGGGTGCTAGAAAAGACAGTGTGTATTTGTTCAATCAGAGAATTTGTGATTGTCTCATAACACTGATCCACTGAGAATGAATTGCATTAAGTCATTCAGAGTGATGCTGTCTTGATATTCAACAGCTGACTTTGCTGATACCAGAAAGAAAATTTTCTGTGTTCATTGATTCTCAAATCTGCATCTAGTGCAGGAGAATTGTCTGTATTCTGTCAATCATGTATTCTAATAAAACATTGATTGGCCAGGCAGGAAGTATAGACAGGTCAACCAGACAGGAAATAGAGGCGGGGCAATGAGAATAGGAGAAGGCTAGGGAGGAGGAAGCTCCCACCACCATTCCTGCCCAGACCACCTAAGAAGCAACATGTGAGCTGACAGCTAGAAAAGGTACCAAGCCATATGGCTAACATAGATCAGAATAATGGGTTAATATAAACTACAAGAGTTAACAAGAAGCCTGAGCTAATGAGCCAATCAGTTTATAATCTTATGGAGTCCTCTGTATGATTTTCTTTGGGACTTGCCGGCTGTGGGGTACTGGGCAGGACAGAAACCCCAACAAGCCGGCCCTCATGTTACATGCATCATCTTCCAAAGTCAAAACCACAATGATTTCATCAATAGTTCTTTATGACAAACATCACCTTTCTCACTTCCTCTAGAAGCATCAGTTTGTTAATACAGCTCTAAATGTTGTTGTTCTCAAACCTGTACTTCATATGGTAAAGGATTTGCCTTCTCCTCCAGGCATAAATTTGTTTAAATCAATATTATATCAGGAAGATGAAATAAGAGAAAAGATAATCACACACACACACACACACACACACACACACACACACACACACACATTTACCATTGTGACCCAGACAGAGGAGGAGCCCATAATCCAGAGAGTTGAAGCTTCTCTGACAGATTTAGTGATATGTATTTTCCAGAGGCCTACTCAAATTAATAGGATTCTACATTTTACAGTGTGATTTAATTCAACATGTTCTCCCATACACTCATGTTTTAAATACTGGTTCCTTGCACTGATAATATTTGGGAAAGTTCTTAGAGATAGAAAGAGAACATTTAGCTGACTGGAGGGATGGTAGATCCTAGAGATACACCAAACTTGTGGTTCTTTCCTTACTTGCAGTTTCCTAATGAACAGTGATGTGAAAGCCTCCACCTTACCCTTCTACCCCATGAGTTGAGCTGCTTTACCATTCACTTTGTTGAACTGAAATGTTCTGAAACTTGGCCAGATGACATTTTTGCTTTATTCAGTTGTTGCTCCCATATAATGTTGACACACTAATACAAAGTTTACTAATATGTTCGCTCAGTTTCTTCTTGCCTTGGTCTATTATAGAATAGTGTTCATATGGAGTCCAGGGAAAGGTGTGTGCCTCAGCTATATATGAATTATAAACTCTACCACTTACTTAGCTGAAGTTTGTCTGTTTCAGTGGGGTTTGAGTTGGGGAGGGTAACCAGCCCAGGATGAACTCATAACAAAATAAAGCTCTGAAATTTAACTGCTACTTATATTTAACATATATCTTTTTCAGATATAAGAGAAGGACCACGAAAAGAAATAATAAGGAAGAATCTGGGCATTTCCAGGACCTCTAGCCAAATGGTAGTGAACCCTTAATTTCTAAAACTCCCCAACAAACCAAGGTTATATTACCACGCATTTATAAAACATTACTCCTGTATTTTACTTCAAAATCTGGATTAAGGAATGATCTACAGAGATGTTCATCTTGTCATCTTTGCCACCATGGCATGCTACTCAATGCACAAAAATAGATCTTGAGGATATGATCCATTTCAGGAGGAAAGGTTATCCTGAGTTATCTGTATGAGAGGGGCCTCCAGGGTTAGAACAGGAGAAATGAGATGTAAAAGGATCAGAAAGGAAAGAGATGAAATAATCTCAGCACTGAAGATGGAGCAAGGAACCACAACAACAAACATCAATGTCCCCTAGGAGATGGGAGACACAAGACAATGACGTTTCTTCTGTTTCCCAAAGTCTGCTGCCTGGCTGGCAGGATTACAGGACTGATCTAGAACTATGAGAGAATAAATCTCTGCTATGCTTAAACCCTACCTTTGTGCTAGCCTGCTGCTCAATCAATTGGAAGTTATTCTACACCACCCTTTCTGTAGAAAACACAGGCATTGTCTTCCCCACCTTGGTCATTTCCGTGAGGAAAGCATCAATGAAGTCTCTCGGCTCATCAGGGTTCCAGTCTCTGCGGTGATTTTCAACTATATCAGAAACATATGACTTCAATTGTCTCCAGGTATCCAGTGTTGTTTGGTGTGATCCAGGAAGATGTTTCATTATCCATGGGAAGATGTTATAGAGCTAATTAGGGAGAAGATCATGGAAACAATTTAATGTCAATTTCTATTTCAAGAGAGTATATATTTTTGATGCCTCCCGGGATCCTGAAATATGTCAAATGTTGGATGTCCAAGCATTTTCTGATCAAGATGATCAGAGATAGAAAGGACATACAAAGAAGCAAAGGAGTCCAGTGTGGGTTCTAGAGGTGAAAGTCAGCCGAGTGGAGGAAACAGGGGTAGTAGGAGAGAACCAGTATAAAGGTGAAAATTGGGCAGAACAGAAAAAAATACAGCAAAGAAAATGAGATTTCATCAAAACAAATAAGAAATAAAAGTTTTGGACATTTTAAAGCTGAACCAAAAGCAAAACAAGACAAAACAAATAAAAAACCAAAGCAGAAAATACCACCAGTCTCCACCGCAAAGAAGATCCAGAAGGGAGAATTGCTGATGAGAAGCTGCACTCCAAGATAAGCAAGAAAAAATGGAAATATTGACCACAGGCGGAATGAAGAACTGTGATATGATCAAGAGACCTAGATATGCACAGGATTTTATTTCAGAAGCTCAACTAAAAAGTAAAGGGATGGAAAATGAATTCAATGAAATTATAACAGAAAGTTTCCAAAGTTAGAAAAGCAAAAAGACATGCAAATGCAAGAGTTATTTAGATCCCCAAATAAACATAATGAAATAGGAACAACATAGTAGATCAAAACCATAAATCAAAGAAGTAATTTTTAACGTTGTAAGGGATTTATTCCAGGAGATGGCTCAGTTATTAAAGGTGCTGCTTGCACAAGACCAACATCCACACCGACAAATACATCTTGCAAAAAGAACAGTAATTAAATTTAAATAATTAAGTTCTAATGGAAATATTCCCACTGAAATGCAGTGACTGAAATGACCATCAAGACAGCACTGAAAAGATACTTAAGTGAGGGCTGGACACTAAAGGAAGAAAGATGAGTCTCAATTATGAGAGTACAGGGAAGAATAAACGGTATGAGAACAGCTGGATAAAGAAGGACCAGGAAGAAATCCATCATGTCTGGCACAGTAAACAAGCAAATCCTTATTAGTAATTGAGGTAAAGTAAAATCCAAGTAATCCAAGCAACCAGGAAAACAAAACAAAACAAAACAAAACGAAACAAAACAAAACAATGAAACCACTGACATAATTACCATGACTACTTAACCTCTCTCCATAATACCTTAGTAAATCCAGGAAGCAAACAGAAACTGGAAACAAGTTATTCAAAATTAGCTTGAGGAGATATTGAAGACCACTATACATTCATAAAAGGAACAATTCATTAGTTAGAACAATTGTAAATATGCATGCATCATAACTTGGGACTCCAAATTTCATAAAACAATTAACAATGAATATAAAGTTTAGACAGATTCTCATGAAATAATTATGGTAATGTCACTACTCCACTCCATTCCTGAATAGGTCACCCCAAGCAAAAACCAACAGAGAAGCTTCAGAGCTGAACTGTACCGTAAATCAAATGGATTTAACAGACATCTGAAGAGAATTACATCCAAATGAAAGAAAAAATATTTTCTCCTTAGCTGCACCTGGAATTTTCTCTAAAATAACCAAGTCTTAGCAAATACACAAGAATGAAATAATCATCCATATCTAAATAGACCATAGTATAATAAAACTAAAAATCAATACCAAGAAACACTACAGAAAGGATAGAAATACAGAGACTAAAAAATAAATTCTTGAATGAACAATGACTGATTGAAAAAACATGGAGAAAAATTTCAAGACCCTAGAACTAAATAAAGATGAAAGCTCAACCTACCAGACCATTTCTGAGACATCTAAGGCAATTCTAAGAGGAACATTTGTATAGGAATGAGCACAGGGACAGCCAACTAACAACGTGGGGGTAAAGTTTATGTCTTAGCGAAAACACAAGAAAAGTGAGTGGATGTAACAGCATGAACAATTAAAATATTCACAATAGTGTTATTAATACAAATTTTAACTTAGAAACAACTGGATGTCTAACCATTGAGAAATGTTTAATGGACAATGACAGCAATTTAACAAAGAGAATATATACAGAGGAGGATAGCTGGAAAGTATGCCTGTGGTTTGCATATGAGGAATGAAGACACATGGGAGAGATAAAGGCAAAATCAACAATAAATATCTCCATTCTTTTAAAAAGAGCAGCATTTGGGCATGCATAGATCCCACATAAATGTTGGTATTTCATTAAAATATTAGAAACATTTTTTGTACACAGTAAGTTTTTTTATTGAAAACATCCAAATCAAGAGATAAATTAGTAACAAACTCAACTCAAAGACATATTTTAGCTTCAAATATTCATGGAAATCAAAAGAAAGAACCTATTTGTACTCGAATTAGCCCCAGTTCAATTTTCTCCCAAAATAAAAGAAACTAGAATGCTTACCCGGACCATCTTTGAGGAAGTCAAACTCGTGGCCTTATCCATTAACCTCAGCAGCTCCTGAAACTGACTGTCATGGTACTCAAACCGCTCACCAAAGGTGATGGAGCAAATGATATTGGAAACTGCTTTGTTGATCTTGAAGTGAGGGTCGAAAGGCTGTCCTGGAGGTAGATAAAGACAAAGTGCATATTTCAAAGATAGTGGTTTGTTAATGCCATGTGACAGAGAAACATACATATCAGAGAGCTATGTAAGAGGCTCTGGATTAGCTTGATATGAGGTTTAACATACACCAAAAAAAATCTGTTAATATTTGAGAAGCCAGACTGATGACCAGGCCTTAAGTCATCAGTGAGTCAATGACCATTTGTGCTGCAAACTCTGGGGTAAGGTCATGGTTACATGTTCACTGGTCAGTTCTCAATGCTCAGCACAGTGCACAGTCCAGGATAAACATTTAGATACTTAGGAAGAAAGTATTTAATGAATGAGAGGGCCAGAGACTCCCACACCTGCCCTGTGGAATGCCCACCTTCCTCCTCTTTTATGACCCCCACAAGGTGTTGGGCCTCCTCCTGTATGCGCTGCTCTATGCTCTTCTTTCCCAACCCAAAGTTCCTCAGTGTCATCAATGCAAATCTTCTTTGCTCCTTCCATGTCTGGCCACTGGAGAAGATCAGTCCTGGAAAGAAGCAAAAATACAGAGTTATAGCATTGTGATTCTGATTTAAAACTACTTGACAAATGGGATGGTCACATGTAAGATGGAAAGAGAAAGGGCCAATAACGGATTTGACAGCTGTCTAGAGAGAGATAATAGCAGAAAGCAAGGAACATAATGGCTAGCATCTCCTGGTGGCTTACAATATCACTGCTTTGTCAGTATTTTTAATATATTCTTTAATTTTAATACTCTTAGAAAAACCCAAAAGTAAGTACCAGAAGATTCTAGATCTATTTCAATGGATAGAAAAATGAGATGCAAGTTTAAAGTAAAATTTTAAGGAAGAAGGTAACTAGGTAGTTAATGAGGTGATCAAATCTAATTCTCCCGAGAAGCAAAGCATCTAAACTTTGTGTTTAATATGCATATATTGTCATCTATGTAAAGCTAAATGCCAGAAACCACTCCTGGTACTCCAATCTGTACTAGTTTTGGTTCTCTAAAGCAGTGGCTCTTAACCTTCCTGATGCTGCAACCATTAATACAGTTCCTCGTGTTGTCATGTACTTTTTTTTTTTTTTGCTAGTTCACAACTGTAGTTTGGATACTGTTATGAATCATACTGTAAATATCTGATATTTCCAACAGTCTTAGAGATCCTTGAGAATGAGTTGTTCAACCCCCAAGAGGGTGTTGTCCCAAGGTTGAGAACCACTGCTCCTAAGGACTAGAAGGAATAGAAATGCATCTTTTACTAAATGGATCTTTTATTAAAGCAATATTTATTAGTGTCGTATAAGAGTCTAAAAATGGCTGACTCTTAATGGAAAGGCCAATAATGCTATGATTGTTCACCATATGAGGCTGGATGTCTCAGCTAGTCTTCTGCATACACTGGAATCCTAGAAAAGTAGATTCTCATACCAGTGAAGGAATTCTTCACCAGCAGGATAGATGAACTTGCCAGTGAGAAGAAGGGCAAGAAAACAAAAGGCAAAAGCTTCCTTTTTCCATGTCCTTTTATATGGGCTGCAACCAGAAGGTGTGGCCCAAATTTAGAGTGGGTCTTCTGATCTCCAGTGATGCAGATTTAGGGTAGGTCTTCTCACCTCAAATATTCCAAAGAAGCAAGACTCCTCATTTGTTTACCCAGTTTTGAGGATTTTAGTTGGTTCCAAATGTAGATAAATTGACAACCAAGGTTAGCCATCAAACTGCTAGTGGAGTTTTCTCAGCATCCTGCTCTTCTGGTGTCTAGATCATGGAGTCATTTTGGCATCGTTTTGACATGTCTGGACTTGTGTTTATAAGGCTTCAATGCCATCACCCTGGTCTAATTCGCAGTCTAGTTTAGCAACTGGAGAGTGTAAGCGTCCACCATTCATATCTAAAACACGTTTCCTAATGTCTTTCCTCCTCTCTCTACCTGATATCCTAAGATCCCCTCTGCTCAAAACCACTCAGAAGTTTTCCTGGCTGTTAGAATAAAAATCAGCATTTAGCAAATACTGCCTGTGCTCTTCTGATGGAGCTCAGAAGTACCAAGAGAGCTTAATTATGCCCTTTAAATACCGTGCTTGCAACACTGGATGTCTTTCCATTCCTCAAGACATCTCTCCTTTTCGTCCTTTCAAGGATATTATATCCGCTTGACTAATTATTCTTTTAGGTCATTAAATGACTATCATTTACTCAGAGAAGATTTTCCAGAATTCTCATACAATTTTAGACATCTCTGATTAAAAGCCTTCTGCATTGATAGTGCTTTACTGTTTAAACCATAGCATTAACTTTTACTGTGCTGACTGGTTTTATGTCACTGTGACACAAGCTATTTATTCTACAGTGGGGAGCCTCAATTGAGAAAATAGAAGAAGATAGGGCTGTAGGCCATGCTGGAGGGCATTTTCTTAATTAATGCTTGGTGTGGGAGGGTCTACCCATGAGGTTGCTGCTAACCCTGGGTGGTGGTCCTGGTTTCTATAAGACAACAGGCTGAATAAAGCAGGAGGAGCAAGACAGAAAGCAGTATTCCTCCACGGCCTCTGTGCCAGCTGCTGCCTCCAGGTTCTTGCCCCGAGTTTCTGTCCTGGCTTCATTTGGGATGAACAGTGTATATGAAAGCATAGTCGAATAAACCCTCTCCTCCCCAAGTGTTTTTGGTCATGGTATTTCATCACAGCAAAGTAACTAAAGTCAGATGTCTAGCACCGTGCTTCTTACAATAGACAACACAGTGAATTGACCTAGAATTATTCCGAAGAGTAATTAGAAAGGGTCTAAGAAGCTGTTTTGTTGGATTAATAGATTTCAAATACTTTATCAGCTTATGACTTTGTTTGACAATAATATAAAGTATTCATACTAACAAATTATAAAGTTGGGTAGTAGCCTCGAGATGCTCATGACTTTAATGATACAGCATAAGCAGCTATAAGCAAGATGCAGTAGAAAGGAAAAGCTGACTTACATCCATTTTCCTAGGGTTGACACGAGGAAATGAAAGTGAGCACAGTTTCTGGCTGTGTTAGTGTGATATGGTTACTTCCTATCAAAGTATATAGAATTAGATTTTCCAAATATGTGGTTTACCCGGTCTCTACTAGGACACACTATAAACCATCTTATGAGTGCTTTCATTCAAGCAATGTGGTTCCAGCGTCCATTAATGATGGCATTTCATGAAGGTGTTGGCTTATGAGAGTGATGGATACATAAGGTATATAGGTGCCTTTTATGTATCTTAAAAATTACAATGCATATCTGACAACACATGAAAGTCTTACCGTTTTTATTAAAAACATCTTTTTGCATAGGAAATTGAGGGCGACTCATAAAGTTTTCCTCCAGGTGTGTAAAGGCTTCTTTGATTAAAGGCAGACCGCTTACAATCACTGAAGACATGATTCCAAAATCCAGACTGATAACATTCCCATATTTCTTCACAAGCTGAAATATATTTCAGTAGTTAGAGGAGAGTGTGCTCATACCTCTGTTTCCAAGGATGGTAGATACATTTGTAGCAAATGGTAATATATTAATAAGTATATATAATATACTTATATTATAATAATATAATTATTATATAAATTAATAATATATAAATATATTATATATAATATTATATATTAAACTTATATATTTAATATATAAAAATATACATATATTTATATATATTTATATAAATAATATAACTAATATATATAATATAAATTATATTATATAAATATGTTATAATTATATAATATTATAATATAATTATTATATTACCATTATAATAATTATAATATTATAATTATAATGGTAATATAATAATTATAATATATTACCATTAATAATTTATTTAATGGTAATAAATTAATAATTATATTAATTAATTAATAAATTAATCTTTATTTTCATGTGAATGATACACCTTGTCATGTGGAAATGGTTTTGATTATCTTTCTTTCAACTGTCCTAAGCTCATATCAGCTTCAAGAGAGAGATTTACCCACACAAACTCATTAACATGAATCAATGAGTGGATGATGTTATAGAGTGTATCCCTGTATGAAGATTTTAGTACATAGATCTATGTAAATAAGCAAATTCTCTAACTCCCCATTCTGCAGTCTAGGACAGGCAGAACACAGAGTATGCTAACTGGTAAAGACCAAGGTGTGTCTGTTTAAGTCTGCTGTATGTAGCACAGAATAAGAAAAATTATTTTTACATCATTTTATTCATTAATTGTTTGTGTGTGTGTGTGTGTGTGTGTGTGTGTGCATATGTTGTAGGTGAAGGGTGGTGTTGCACATGTGTATGTCAGTGGACATCTTTGGGGAGTCTTTTCTCTCCTCTCACCATGTGAGTCCAGGTGATCAAATTCAGGTTACCAAGTTTTTCAGTAAGTGCCCTTACCCACTGAACAACCTTTATGATCTGCAAGAATGGAATTCACAGTAATGAAAATATCTGTTGATGGCTTTCTTGTATAAATAGCTATAATAACAGAAGCAATAGCAAAATAACTGTGGCTATTTAAATATTAGATTGTGAGTTAGAAGAGGGCTCTGGTAATGGAAGCAACAAAAGATGGAGGGGCAGAACCCAGAGACAGTGCTGCTGGGCTCATGCAGCATTCATGTCACAAAAATCCTTTCTGATGTGTAAAACTCAAACTGGGTTCTCAGGAGTCTGCTCTGATAATATGTAAAAGGTGAATAAAAGGAAAAGAAAGAAAATGGAATGAGCTTCAACTCATAGAAGACATCCTAACAGTGACTTGGAATTTATTGAGTAATTTTATTCATACAATGATCATAAGAGGCATATTCAGGACCATTGTATGTCGGGGTCCCATCGTTACAGCTAGCTTGAAGTACATGCTAATATCTAAGTTGTGTATCACAGCCCACTTCAGCCTGACAAGACTTTTTCTCATTCATTTATGTAATATTCCTGTAATAGTTCTATGAACTACTACAGAGAAAGCTAAGACACTATGAGATGGAGGAAAGTAGAGTTCCCACGTGCTCAACAAAGAGTCACCATCTTCACTGTCCCCATCTGTTTTGAGTAATATCACCTAAGCTGATCTAAAATGTCCACCCCTTTACTTCACTAGACGCTTGTTAAACATTCCTCTAGGCACAGTACAACGGGCAGCACCATTCTATCAAAGGCTTGACCCAGAGCTGCCCAACCATGTAGATTTCATATGATATCAGAATTGATTAGCAGAATCCATAGGACTCATTGGACCATAGACTGTCCTGTGTTGTGCCTGTCATGCTAAGCCTTTGTTTAGTGTCTCTTTAGTGAATGAGTCTGTGAGGAAACACATCTAGTTATTAAAAGTCATTTTATTCTTTAAGATATATATATATATATTGAGTTTTTGTATTGAGTCAAATCATGTATGTTCAAGAACTTGTTTTGCCATTATCCCACTGAGCAACCCGGGGAAATCAGATTACTCCTGTCCTTGACAGTGGAAAATGGAATGCTAAGAGATGTTTGCTAACGTGACTCCA